GTTGTGGAAGAAGACATGTCTGATAGAAGTTGTGATGGTGCGGAGGCTGGCGCGTGCTGGCGCTCCACAATAACCGCGACTTGCTATGACATAGTGATTATGTAATCTGTTGTCCTGAAAATCAGGCGACCCTCCAACGCCTAGTTGGTACCAGCCTTGCATCCGACATCCATCGTAAACCCAGCCATTGATTAAGTACATCGGATATCCATAAGAGCGTCGCAATGTCGTAAGAAAGCAGTCATATCGAGAAACGCACTTCTAGTGTCAAGCGTGGGGCGAAGCTCACAGGGCCCGGGGTGCCAGGTGCCCGTCTGGCCAGACCTGACGTGTGTACGGATTCGCAGGGTCGCCTCCGTTACCCCCTTCATATGTGACCTGGACGGTCCGCTCGTACAGGATAGCTTCCTCGCTATCGTTGTCTCCTTTATAAGAGACGTGCCCGGTCGGCGCCTTGGCCTCTCGCCCACCCGAGGCTTTAGGAGCCACGCTAGCAAGAGGAATCTCATCGTCGCCGTCTCCTTGCGCGCCGTCTACAGTGCGCATCAACGTATCGTACTTGCGCTTGGCGTTTCCATCACTTCCCCAGGTGCGCAACCCGCGATTGCGACCTGAGGAATCTTTGTTTTCAGATCCGCGACTCTCGCCGACTAATCGCGGGGCCGCGTGTTTTAAGAAACGTCGCAGGGTCGGCAAGCAGCAGCATATGACGAACAAGTTCGATTCGACGACGCTGTATTGTGGTTAGTTTCCTGAAACCACATCAGATCAACGGAGGCCTTACATCCACAAGCACCCCACGGCTATGATCCAGGTTTGGTCCATGTCTGTCAAAGCTGGGATCAACACAATAAGGCGAATTATTGAAGTGACCATTGTGCTATATGGAGTCAGCATTGGTTCGTAGCGCGACTTTCCTTCTCGGTGGACACTCACATTGATCCAACACAGAACATGATTGTCAGTCCAATCTTCTGTTTCATCGCCATTTGCAATCCCCAGACGGTCGGAATGGGGATGGCCATCAGCATCACATCCGTCACGATACCGATCACAGCCGTAGCAATATAGATTGCCCCTCTGTTGACGCATGTTGCCGTAGCGAGCAGTAGAGGATCCCAGCTGGCTGCAATTGGCTTGCAAGCGAATATCAAACTGAAGAATATCGCTGTATACGAACCAGCGCAGACGAAAAGGGTGATCCAAACAGCCCATTGGAAGGCGACGGACGGGGAGAGACGACTGTAAAAGATGCAGAGTGCGACCTTCGTCAGGGCTGTGCAAGGAGCATACACGACTGGTGCTGCTAGAATGAGCTGTCAAGTCGTCGAATCAGCACATACGCAACAAAAGTAGGTGAGGGAAAGAGTTGTCAGCTTACTCGCGAATAAAAGCCGTATTTCTCGATCGAGATTTCCCAGGCGTGTACACCGATACTACCGGTCGAGAATCCAGTTATCAAGAGACCTTGAGTGCCCACTGAACAAGCCCAACCAAGGAGGAGTAATGCTGGACCTCTGTCAGAAGAGTTCCTCTGCCACTGTTATTGGATATCATACCATCGTCAATCTGGAACTGCTTCATAAGCCGAATCTTGGTGTAGAGCCGCTGCCCAAGAAACGCAAGTGCCAAGATGTTCTCGACGATGAAGACCACATACGTCTCCGTCACCAGCCTCCGCTGTGGGTTCGCGAAGTCGACCTCGTAGCCATCGGGTGGAGGGATGATGGTTGTGACGCCGTTAACTGTCGCCATGACGTGGCAACCGTTGGACAAAGAACGGATAGTTGATTAATGAACAACGGTCTCGGGAGCGGCAACTAAAGAATACCCCAACGAGGGAGAGCATGTACGCCTAGGACTCTTGAAACCTTCTTCTCCAACTAGCAGGCGGAGGTGCTTCACACATAAGGTTGTGGAGGCTAGACGGCCAAGTTTGCGCTAAATTTCCAGTCCAGGGGCGGAACACATGGGGAGTGGATGTGAACGACATTCATGTCGATCGCATCGAAGTACTCGCCTGGACGTGAAGGCCCGTCTCGGTAAACTTGACCCCTTCGCCAGACCGTTGACCTCGATATGGACATGGAGGCACAATAACTACCGAGAAGGGGTCCGGGGTCTTGCTCAGATAGATATGACACCTTCATGTGATCGGGACGACCATGGCCAATGCACATTTGGCTGCTGGTTTACTGATTTCAGACCACTTCAAACTGTATATCAGGCCTCCATACTCCAGTCCACAAGACGATTCAGTGCTCATCTGGTTCATGCCCCAGTCTCCACTGAACAGATCGGATCATACGATAACCGATATGCTATGAGAGTCATGGTGAACACCTCTCAGATCCGCATTTCTGAAGCATGATAATTGGCCGCAATGCGAGCGAAGAGTCGATGCTGACGCGTGCGAAAAGGTTGAGATCTGATCCTACAGATCGAAAACGTCGAAGCCCCGACGGATAAGGCCGATACTAGCTATTCCCGTAGCTTGTGGGTCTTGTGTTCGGACCGCCCGCGGCATTGGTGCAGAGTGTGATAGGTTCCATTTTACCGTCCCGTGTTCAAGGATAATATTTGCCTATCATATCGATGAAAATATCTGGAGCCCTCGCCTCTTTTCTCAGGGACCAGAGGAGCACACCCCTCCTTAAGGCTAATGCGCACACCACGTGTTAGAACGGCAGCTGGATATGTACCCTTCTGCTATACATGTTAAGATCCGCATAAGAGCCGCCTACCTAGGCAGGAGGAGGACATTTCAGGTTTAAATGCCAAGTTGGAGCGATATCTCTTTCGGGTGCTGTTAGCCGCTGCTGGCATGGTAACTCTGCCTGCAGCGATGGCGGCAATAAAACCCCAACCGACCCGGCATATCGGTCCAACAACATCTTTTTCGAGTGTGCTAAGTTTTAAAGTTGAGACAGCATGAAGCTCCTTGCACCGGCTATTGTTGCATCTCTGGGATTGCACGCCGAAGCTGCCCAGTTCGGTGCCCACAAGAACGAGGTTCTTGGCAGTAAGAATGACAGTTGCGTGCGTGACGGGTACTCCCTAGTCAAACTTTGACCATTGCTGACCGGATTTAGTGTTCATCGCTGGAGGTTGCCGGACTGAAAAACATCTTTTACGAGAATGATGAACAGTACAAAAACCGAACAGCATCTTACTGGTCGGTGAGTGCTCAGTTGCAGCCTAACTGCATTGTCCAACCAGTATCTACCGAAGAGGTTTCGACTGCTGTCAAGACCCTGGGTGCGCAAAGCAACTGCAAGTTTGCGGTGCGGAGTGGTGGTCATTCGACCTGGGCCGGGTCCAACAACATTAATGATGGCGTGACACTCGACCTCGGTCTTATGAACACAACTATCTATGATGAGGCAGCAAACCTCGCACGATTCCAGCCTGGCACCCGATGGGGTGGTGTTTACGGCGCACTTGAACCTTATGGGGTTACTGTCGCGGGTGGACGAGCAAGCAGTGTTGGTGTTGCCGGTTTCTTGACCGGAGGAGGAAACTCTTTCTACACTGCGCGAAGGGGTTTTGCTTGTGATCAGGTACAGAACTTCGAGGTTGTCCTTGCGGATGGGTCAGTACTCCGTTGCATCATTACACAATACATGGGTTGTCGCTAATACCAAGCAGCGAGGTTGTCAACGCGAACGCTACGTCCAACAGCGACCTCTTCACAGCCCTCAAGGGTGGCTCTTTCAACTTCGGTATCGTCACCCGCTATGACGTGCAAACATTCGCTGCCGGAGACCTTTGGGGTGGTGTCAGGGTTCACGACAAGAACCACACACAACAACACGTCGAAGCTTACACAGCGTGGGTCGACAATGTCGAGAATTACCCTGACGGCTCCAGCATCGTCTTCTGGAGCTACCTACCTGCCATGAAGGATATCGTCATCATTGCCGCATACGAGGATGTTGCCGGAAACGTAGCTCCCGCAGGCTTCGACAAGTTCATGGCTATCCCTGCTCTATCCGACACTACAAGGAAGGCAAGCCACAAGAACCTTACTGACGAGCTTGAGCAACCTACAGGATACCGGTATGTCATTCTGGACGCTACAAAATGATCAAACTGACAACTCTAGTGACATCTGGTTCACCATGACTTTCAAGAACGATGCCACCGTATTCAAGTACATTGTCGACGCCCACACCAAATTCGTCGAAGCATGGAAGGCGATCAGTACCGACGGCGACTTCATCACCCAGTGCATGTTCCAAGCTATCCCGACCACCTTTGCCGAGCACAGCAAGGAACGCGGTGGTAACGTCATGGGTCTTGATCTCGTAAAGGACAACGCAGTCATGCTTCTTTTCGACATTGCTGTCAAAGGAGAAGAGACCGAAGTCATTGCGAGAGAGGCGCTCAGGGCTGTCACCGAAGAGATGCAAAGATTCGCTGCCAGCAAAGACGCTCTGGTAGATTGGCAGTACCTGAACTACGCCGACGCGTACCAGGACCCACTTGGTAGCTACGGCTCCGCAAACGTCGCTAAGATCCGCGCTGCGGCTAAGAAGTACGACCCCAAGGGTATGTTCCAGACTCAGGCGCCTGGTGGATTTAAGATTTCAAAGGTCAAGAACTCGACTTTCACCAAGCAGGAATTGTAAGCCGCTGATGGCAGCGAGAAATGTGAGGAAGAGGAGAAAGCGTTTCCGCATACTGTTAGCAAACCACGACTTGAAGGATCTTCTGTTTTATCTATTCTGCCTCAAAGATCACCATACCCATTACCTTCATAGCTAGGTGCATCCAAAAGCTCAATAGCCCTGGCTCTTAGCTCTCTATTCTGCTGTTTCCCCTCAACCTCGTCCCTCAACTTCGCCGCCCTCTCAAAGCACTCTTCCGCCTTTTCCGTATTCCGCGCGATACGAATATACCTCGCAATCAACGGAACGCACCACTCGACAAGCTGCTTTGCCGTAGTTCTTTTCTCCACGTCTCGTTCCCACATACTTTTATACCAGGTGTTGAGTGTTCTAGTGTATGGCCAATGCTTCCAAGCGCTGTACGCGTCCGCGCCGTTGGCGCAGATGGACATACGGACGTCGTGGTGATTTATCAGTTCCTCCTGTGTAGCGTCGAGGGGGCGGTAAACGGTGGGTATGAGAATACGCCATTTTAGTTGTTTCCAAGCGCCGTCGTCAATCAGGATAGGCGCGGGTTTGTTTGCCTTAATCCGACTCTCGACGAAAGCCTCCCGCGATTGGACAGGATATATTCTCAAAGCGAGCGTTTGTAAGGTCGCACCCAGAGCCCAGATATCAACGGACGGCCGCTGCTTCTCTTGTTCGGCTAATGGTGGTGCCCATTCGGGTGTGCCAAGGAAATCTTTTTTGGGCTTCTCACCTTCGGGTAGAGGGTATCGTGTCATGCGAGCGAAGTCGGTCAATCTGAATACCGGCTCATCAGGGATCCCATCTTTTGGATTCCAGCCTTTGGGAAATTCGACCAAGATGTTGTCTGGTTTGACGTCGTTGTGTATGTAGCCAAACTCGTCGTTCATGTTGTGCAAGTAATCTAGAGCAAGGGCCATGTCGCGAAGACACTTCCAGATTGTGACTTCGGGTGTTCGTATAATGAGTTTTGAATGCCGGAGTTGCTGCTCTTTATAGCTGGCCATGTATGCAAGAAGATCTCCTAGCTCGCAGAATGGAAGGAAGATTGCTGGGGCCGCGGGATGATGGTTATGCGACCATGCTAACATTCCGGCGATGTGCTCATGCTGACCGAGGATGGTAAGATTTGCGATTTCTTCTTTGATGCGTTTAGCTGCTTGAGATGCATGGTAAGGAGTGTTGTACGCAATAGGAGTTTTTACTGCAATGAGCGCTTTCGAATATTTGTGTTGGTATGCGTAGACTGTGCCATCGCCTAAAGATGGATGCACGAAGTCAGTAAATGTCTCACAACAGTTCGTACATGGAGATTACTCGCCCCCTTCTCCTAACCAGCGTGTTTGGTTGAATAGCCTTCTGAACTTTGCGTAGTCTTCTAAATCACCCGTATTGAAAGATGAATTCATGCTCGCCTTTCTTCGCTCCCCGCTAAGATCCAAGAAGATTCGGCTCATGTGCTTGAGTGAATCCATTTGAAAAGGGTGGGGTATATGAGATTGGAGTGACAGCACTGTTTAAAGCTGCGGCTTGAAAACACAGACGTGGCTATTATATACTCACAAGGTGCCCTAGCATCCTCAACTTTGGTTGGCGTTGACTGGTAGTGCGATGACGCAGAACGAAACAAGCCACTCACAGCTTGCGCAATACAAAATGTACCATGAAAAGGGATCGCGTCAAGTACCGCGTATTGCAGGTATGTTGTAAGTAGATTTTACAGGTATTGTAACGACAGTGGTGACAACATTAGAATCGTCAGGCTCCTCACATCTCTCCACCAATCTTGACAGCGATCTTGCCCACAGCGCTCTGCTTCGCCATCATCTCAAATGCCTCAACCGTCTGGTCAAAAGGATAGTCGTGCGCCACCACTGGCTTGATGCCGTGCGCTTCAACGAACTGCGCTAGTTCGACAACTGCATTACGCGGGAAGGCGCAACATCCTTTTACTGTGTTTTCGTTGTCAGCATACTTGGCATGTGATCCAGGAGAGATGGTCAAAGGCTTACCAGTCTTTGCAGTAAATAAGATACTTGGGACAAAAGCCGCATCGATAGGCGCGTTCGGTGTCAAAACACCTGGCATGCTGATCAAACCGCCGACGCGGGTGCTGTTGATGGATTTCATCAACGTGCCTGCACCACCTGTCTCGATAACGTGATCGACGCCCTTGCCGCCAGTGATTCTAGAGACTTCTTCGTCCCAATCCGGCGTGGTGACATAGTTGATGAGGTGCGTCGCGCCGAGACTCTTCGCGATCTCGAGCTTGCTGTCCGAAGAGGAAGTAGCGATGACCGTCGCACCAAGAGCCGAAGCAATCTACGTTCTATCAGTATACATCCCCTTGCACCACAAATGACGACTTACCTGGATCGCAAAACAGCTAACGCCACCCGTCCCCAGGGTAAGCACCCACTTCCCTTCCAATCTCCTATCAGTCCAGCCCCCGATCCAATCTCCAACACTCCCATCCAGCCTTCCATCAAGCTGCCCACGAATCGCAGACCAAGCCGTCGCCCCAGCCGTCGTCAGAGAGGCCGCCTCAACTGCCGTCAAGTTCTTTGGCTGCTCGACAATCCACTCATCAGGCAGCACAAGATACTCTTGCAACGTGCCATCCTGGCTCGTGCCGCCTAGGATCGTGGCAAAGTCCAGGTTGCAAAAGTCTCCCGACAGCCACCCGTTCTGGTTGAACATGACTGCGAGTCCTTTCTTATCGCTCCAGATAGAGCCTGCGCCAGTCGAGTGGATGATGCCGGCTCCGTCGGAGCCGGGCACGAGGTCGGGTTTATGGTCTCCTGGGTATTGGGGGGAGCGGGTGGAGACGAGGACGTCGCGGTAGTTCAGGGAGGCTGCGGTCATCCTGAGGAGGACTTGTTTGGGCCCTGGGGTTGGGATGGCCTTTTCCTGCTTCGTTAGGTCAGACAGCTTGGTGGCTGTTGCCGGAACGGTCCATGCTGCGTAGGTGGTTGGGGTAGACATTGTAGAAGTACTTTTGTATCGGTGGTAACTTCGTGAAGATGATGAGGCTCTTATGTTCATCGTGAGTTGTAGTGGCATACTTATACCATATCCTGATACTTCCACCAATACCGAGATGCAGTCAGCATGCAGCGACACCGATGATGCTTAGCGAGCATTCACTTAAGGCGTCCATTTGTGGCCTATTCTGCGACAACTTCCAACTCGGGGTTCTACAAATGCATCTCAAAAGCTCGAGGCTCATGGCTGTTACGTTGTGACGTGAACTTGTTGATTGGATGCAATACGCCGGCATTGGTAAGCAAGGCGAGCAGTGCGATTTCGCAACACATACCACCGGCTACTCAAGGATATACTCGAACGCGAGAAACTGCAAACATCAGAGACTTGGTAAGCAAGGCAAGAAGCTGCATCAATCAGTGTTTATGACACGCAATCGTCATTCCAAACTTCTGTTACTTCCATCTACGCACCGTCCTTCTTCCTCTGCCCGACGAAAAAGCCCAACCCAAAATCATCCGTCTTAAACGTAATCTTGCTCCCCTTGGGAAAGAAAAACACATCACCCTTCTCGGCCTTCACTTCCTTGCCCGTCTCATCGCTGATGTAGAAGTGGCCGTCTACTATGATCTTGATCTCATCGTACGTATATGTGTACACGAGTGGTGTTCCCTTTTCTAGACGGTAGAAACCGCCACTGATGGGCTTATCTGGGTCTGTGGACTCGCTGGGAGGGAAGGAGTGTTAGTTCGGGAAAGTGGGTTGATGGGATGCCACAAGAGGAGGCTAGACGTACGACGATACGACGTCACCGAGGTAGGCGTTCTCGTTGGCGATTAGAGGGGGTTTGAAGGTTGTTTGCGCCTTTTCGAAGTATTGCATTGCTGGCATTGTGATGGTTGGTATGGCGTTGGTTGTTGGGGTTAACTGGGGGTGTTATAGAGGCTGCTGAGAGTAGAAGGCGCAAGAGCACGACCGGCCTTATGTACTACAACCTTATCTACCATCGCCCAATCTTCAACACTTACGGCATCGGCATCATCAGCTCCTCAATATAGACTGTGAACGGGAGTTCCCCTGCCACCGCCATCCAGTCAGCCGCCATATAGGCGTAGAGCAGCGCATGTCTGGGACTTTGATACTGCATATGGCGCTTGGCGTGCGTCAATTACATGGCCGATTTGGCGGGAGCTTTGCTAAGCTTTCCGATCTTATCCACTGCCATCTATTAGTGTGCGCTGCAGGTCATGAGCAAGACGACCCCGAAACGTTGGAGGTAGCTGGAGATAGTGGGGTGGTTCAAGGTGGGGCAATGAGATGTAATCTGCGATTGGCTATGAGCTTATCGTCAGGAAAGGATTACTCCATCTGGATGTCGTGCATATGTGGGTTAGTGTAGTAACGTGGGTTCCGACTATGACTCGAGGAGACTTTCGCAAAGCGGAGAGGCTTGTTGCTTGAAAGGGACGATGACGCTGCGTAGTAGTCCTTAGAACTGCGTCTTGAATTCTGATAATACATTCTGGGTATATTCAAATTAATGGATGCGGTAGTGATATCATGCAGGTCGTTCTTCTTCATGGTCTTCGTCCTCTTTCCACTTCTTGCGCCACCACTTCATCTTAAACCAGTCGCCCAAGTTATCTTGGCTTTTGCTCCCTTGGCCGTACCCCCAGGTCTGTCGTCTCCGGGATGTTTCGTCCATGTCTGTATCAGAGATATCGCCATCTTCTGGATCGGGATGATCAAGAAGTGATGTAGAGCTGTCCACGGGCTTCTTTCCTTGCGACACGCTCCTGCCTCGGCTACCGAATCCTTCGAACCAGGACCGTCGACGCATCTGATTGAGCCACGCCGACTGCGCAGCGTTTCTTCGTGGAGGCAAGGTTCCAGATCTCGGTCGTCGTTCTAGATCCACGGATCGCCGAGCAGGAGAAGGCAGAGTCTCTCGATCGTTGAGCTCATCCCATATCTCATTTGTCTCCTCCGAGATAGTCATCCGCCGTCTCCTCGGCAATCTACGGGATTGTATAGGACTTTTCAAGTCGCCGGCGTCTACCGATGCTCGCTTCTTCGGGTTGGCGAGTGTCACCGCGGGACCTGTGGGAGCGCGGGCCAGCAGAGGCGTCCTCTCGTCGACCGCTTTCCGTTTGGCTTGCTCCGAGGCATAGCCATGAATGCCTGGGGCTTCTTCGTCGATGTCCAGAGGTGAGTCGGATTCGTCGTGGCTATGGCCATGCGCAAGGCCGATACCGGGTTCCAGCACATTGTGAGGCATCGGAACCCTGCCTGTGTGCTTGCTTGCTACTGGTGACATGGGCTCTTCCTCGTTGTCTTCAAGTCGCCAGCTCAAGCAGACAACTCCCGCGAGCAGAATAACAGTTCCAAGTGCGATCAACCCAGCGTGCAGACTCGACAGGCGATCGTTTTGGTCGAAGTAGATGAGGCCGTCTATAATCGCGATGATATTGTACACGCAGAAGACCAAGGGGTAGAGCACGCTCGTGCTAACCAACTTCAGTCCGCGATGCATGTAGTAGAGTTGGGTTAGGGCGAAGACGACCAGTCCGACTAGGATCATCCACGACTGCCAACGGTCAAACTGATTATGGCGGTCGATGAGAGTCCGGACGAGGAGTTCGACGGCGCTCTTTGCGATTAGGAGCGAATGCGCGGAGAGGATGCCACTGACGCAACCGAAGAGGATACCGCGTACGAGGCGTTGTCGAGGAGTGGTCCGCGGATGCATGCGGTGCAGTAACCAAGTAGCAATAACCAGCATGACAACCACTATGCCCGTCATGACCATCCATACAATGAAGGTGTTTCGTCCCAGCAGCGCCAGCAGTTGATCCAGGTTATGCGACGGTTCCGCAATCGCACCGAACAAGGCGATGAGTAATGCGCCTATCGCAACGAGCATTGTGCCGACGAAGGAGTATCGCGTAAAGGGTTCGCTGAGGATTATGGAGGCGCATATCGAGTTGAAGACGAGGCCGGATGCCTGCAGGGTGGAGAGGACGGGAAGGGGGAGGGTGGTGATTTGAATGGTACTGCCGACGATGTTTGCTACGACGAACATGAGCATGCCCAGCTATGTGTATGTTAGTGAATCGTCCCCGAATGCGCGAGGGGTGTTCGTGCCTGCCATCTCCGCCGCTTGTATGGGGGTCGCCTCTCGTCGTCGTCGTCCTTCTCTTCCTCCAAGAGATGGGATTTCCGCTGCAGCGTCAGGCCAACGCTCTGAATGCTAGTAGAGGCAAGGCCGACCATTACTCCAAGCTGCATGTCCGTCCGTTAGCGCTCTATTCCCGTGGTGATATGGCGCCTTGGGTACTCACAGCAACGCTCGCGCCCGGCGAGAGTTCCACCATGGTTCGTGTCGGCTGTCGTCGCTGCACTGCGCGTGTCGCTACCTAGTCGTCGGGCGCATGCTGTGCGTATGGGGGTATGGGGCGGGGATGTGTGGTCTTGATAGTGGACAGCGCAGACGTCGAAGTCGCGAAACGTCACGCTGAGTCGGTGAAGTGCACGAGACGGTTGGGGAAGACTAGCCGATGCCGTGCAGGTTGCAGGGATCAGCCGACTGATGATGTAGTTGGACTCAGGAGGAGAGCCCTGGAGAGCTCAGGAGCAGCAACGAGGCGACGCGACGAGTTTGAACAAAATATATATCTATTATATCCATAGTGTGACACGTCTTATATTACCATCGCGTACCTGCGACGTCGTGCCATGGATCCTCTGCAGACGTACCTGGGTAACCGCGGGCATCGTCTGGGTGTCTGGGGGCCCAAGCTTGAACTTCAACCTCCAAGCTCCGTCACTGCTATACCTCGACGCCAGCACCCATAACCCGACCCCGTAGCCCAGAGGACCCCCACAATACCGCCATCATGTCGCAAGTCCACGCCCTCTCCGACGACCAGGTACAACTCCCCACCCGCTCCAGCCCGCGGCAAGCTCCCCGCCCACTACGTCAACACGATAGCTAACACGCACCACCATGGCAGGTCGCCGGCGAGCTCAAGAAGATGACGGCCTTTATCCGCCAGGAAGCCATGGAGAAGGCCAACGAAATCCGCCTCAAGGCCGACGAGGAGTTTGCCATCGAGAAGTCCAAGCTCGTGCGCCAGGAACAGGCCTCGATCGACTCGTCCTACGAGAAGAAGTTCAAGCAGGCCAGCATGTCGCAGCAAATCACCCGCTCCACCGTCTCCAACAAGAGCCGATTACGCATCCTCTCCGCCCGCCAGGAGCTGCTCAACCGCCTGTTTGAGAACGCTGAGAAGAAGCTGGGCGATGTTTCAAAGGACAAGAAGAAGTACCAGAGCGTCATGAAGGACCTGATCGTCGAGGGCGCCTATGCGCTCAACGAGGACAAGCTGCAGGTCAAGGTCCGGAAGGCCGACTACGACCTCACCAAGAAGGCTATCGAGGAGGCGCAGACCGAGTACAAGAAGAACATTGGCAAGGACGTCTCCATTACTATTGATGAGAGCGACCCGCTGCCAGAGGGATCGTAGGTTTAACATTACTATCAATGCGGGACAAGACTAATATCAGACAGTGCTGGTGGTGCCATGATCGTTGGTACAAACGGCCGAATCGACATCAACAACACCTTCCAAGAACGATTGAAGCTACTCGAATCCCAGGCCCTGCCATCCATCAGGGTCACGCTCTTCGGTGAGAACGAGAACAGGAAGTTCCACGACTAAGAGGTTAGTCTGGACGTGGAGTACGAGAATGGGCTGGTGTGCCCGGCCGCAGTCACGGGCCAGCACAGACGATGGTCCGCGTCAGCAGTGTCGGACCGAGGTTTTGATGAGTAGACTGTACATGCACGAGATCTTGTAGACCTCTCGGAACATTTAGCGAGTTTTATTCCATGCACATTATCAGAAGTAATGTTTGACTGTGATATCATTGAGGAACTGTTCTCGACCGCTAACTACAGAACCTCGTATGTACTGCGAAGGAGGGTATAAATAACAAAA